TTCGCCTAAGTTCTAAACAAGAAATCACCATAGGATAATTAAAAACACCCCATGAATCTCTCCTCTACAAACCTATGACATGTAACTGCTTTCGGTTCCTATTTCCTAAAGAGAATTTGGTCAATCCTCCTTAGCGGTTTCAGAGGGAAAGGAGGATTTTCCAAGACAGATAAGTTGAAATGATCCCGCTTTGATCTCAGTGGTTAAGAATCCCTCACAATGGAAGATGGCCACTGAGGGGCCGCGATCCTGGCCTTTTAATGTGTAACAATGGTATCAACAAACAGCTACTTAATCAATATTTGGCCAGAGCTGCTGAAAACTTCCTTTTCAGATTTTAATTCCTAGTTGTAAAACAACCCCAGAGCAGCGAGTGAGATAAGGCATTAAACTGACTGCTTAATTGCCTTTTAGTGTCTTGTTAGTTATCTATGTACATTCTTAATGGTTCTTTAATCTTTATTTACCCGCATAAATAAGTTATCTGTGGGAGGACCCAATCGAACTGAGTCTTCTCTGCCCTAGCCCTGGCCAAACTCTCCCAGCATTTGCTTGTTCTTGTTCAAGCTTTTAATATTCTTCGGCTATTTATTTATGTACAACTTAAACATTTAACCTCCTGGTTAGGAAGGATTTTTTTTTTGGTCCCTAAAATATATCTATTCATGAATGTTGAACCTGGGTTCAGTGGCAACGCTCCTATTCACCTGATGGATTTCCGCATATTCCACTCCCTGAACCGAGGAGCACTTGCTGGTTCCGCCTCACCGCCCCCGTGGGTTTTATTGCGCAGCCCTGGGGACTCTTAAATGACCCTTCAGTAATTATTACGCACTTGAAGCCCCTACGTCCCCGTTCCGGTGCTATCAACAATCAAATCAAACTTCAAAATAAACATACAATTTCAAGCATTAATTAGAAAACCTGCATGTTTTCAATAAGGCTAGAAAGCAAGCACGCAGCAGTCAACCAAACAAAACAAGCCAGCGAAAAAGAAAAAAGCTACGGTCCGAACTCTGGTGCTTCTTTTTAAATCCTCCCATCAGGAAAATCGTTGCCGCTGCACCCTTGTAAACGCAGTGCTGTGTTTTAATCCAAGTTCTGATATTTCCAATACTTTTTAAAGTGGGTGCTATTTCCTTGTTGAGTACTGTAAGGGCTTCAGAAAACAGGAAATTTACCCAAAAGACTAGAGACGACTTGGGAATTAAATTCGTGATTCTAACAAGTGGACTTGGGGAGTGGGCCGTCCACTTTAATAAAGGTTCCGATGCCACGAACGTAAGATCTTACAGCTCATGATTTTTAATCTGTGTGAAAGTTCCTCCCTCACCCTCGCTTGCCTCTCCCCCTCCTCCATTCCTCGCGCCAAAACTCGGGGGAGGGGGAAGAGCCGGCCTTCGGTTCCCCTCAATTTCAGTAGCGTTCCCGTTAAGGATAAACTGCTCTTTTCATGATTCCACTGGAAATGAAATACTTCCAGGATCTTTCAAACGTCTGTGCGTTTTTAATTGCTTTAAATTATGCCCTGCTGAAAAGTTGATCTCTCCCTCGTTAATTTTAGAAACGCTCATAAGTTTATAAACTGGAGCAAAACTTTTGTCACTTTTACTTTCTCACATCCAAAAAAAAAAGTACTGTTTTCCATAAATGTCAACTAGAAAGGGAGCGATATGAAAGGAGTGTAAGCTCCAACAGACCTATGCCTGGGGTCTCTTGGCTCAATCTTTGAAATTGTTGCAAACCTCCCACGCTCACTGGTGATTCTTAAAAGGAGTAGAGTCCCATGAAAGTGTATCTCCAGCCCCAATCAAAACATCAATTTGGCAATCTGGCCTCTCTCCCCCTGCACTCCCGAGCTGCCACTTCAAAGCCGCTGCAACAAGTCAGTAATTGTAACTTTGCATCTAAATATTTAAGCGAGAGTCGTGCAGTCGCGTGTCCATTTACAGTCCTCATCTGTCCTCTAATTCCATTACAGCACAAAGCAGAAATGTTTCCCAAAACT